ATCTGCAAAAACTGTGAGGAAGGATATGCAAAGTTGATGCGTACATGCATTAATGATGACACAGATCAAGGCATGAAAATTCATTGTGTCAGCATGATGTATGTACACTGTGCTGACAATTGCCAATTAGGCCAGGTCAGGTCATGTGCAGAGCATTATAGAAGCATTATAGAAGTAGTTCTGCATGAGCAGAACTATGAAAATTGGCTCTCACAACAGAATGTGAATTTAACAGTATGCTTGTGCATGTTCTTTTTGTTTTCTGTTTTCCCCAACTGGGAGAGCGTAACATTAGTCCCAAATTGGCACTGCCCCAAAAAATCCTGGACACTGGGAGATATGCAGGTGTGGGAGGCACATAGTTTTCTCTGATTTATCAAATCAACCTCTGATATATAACAGTACTAATAAGAAATCTAATGGCGATTGTGACGAAGTGCCCTTCGCCACTTGGTACTGGAGAGGCCTGCTTGCCAGCCTCCTCCCCTGTGACTATGACTCTTTGATGTATTTGCCTTTAAAGCCCCTATTCTACCTTCAGACAGACTATTTATGTAGGCTGCTTCATTTATCTTATGTTTTAGTCACCCTGTACCCATTATAGGTGCAGGGTGTGTGTAATGTAATTGTTTATAGTGTGTGTGTGTACTGTGAAATGTATTGCCTTCTCTCCTGTACTGCTGAGGTTTGCTACCAACTTGGTGGGTTTGGCTATGGAGCTTGTCTAGTGCCCTCTGTTGGTAGCAACAGCAATATGCACTACCTGAATTGCAAGACTGGTTCATTTGCATATTCGGGTAGATTTGCATATTGCTAATTCTGCAGGCAGGTGAGATATTTACTGTTAAATATTGTCTCCCCCCACCCCTTTAAAATGTGCCATTGTGTTGTGATAAGTCACTGTGTGTTTCTTGATATGGTTTGACTGTTTGTGATTTTATTGAGGTTTCACAACAATGTTATTGTGGTGACCCTATTGGCTGGTCCCAAGGGAAATAAAGGTTTTGACAGTTCTTCTTGATCCCTCTAAACGTAGCCTTGTCTCGTTATTGGAGGGAGCTGTTATAATCACACTGGGGATTGCTATGCTCTGCATGCTCCCCTGAGCTTGAGTCACTTAGCTCTTTTAAGAGCTTGTTCCTGACACGCTCTCCTTGGAGGAGGGGTCTTCCCACACAGTCCTGGAGGACAGAAGCTGATCCAGGGTGGAAGGAAGACGGCGAGACTCCAGTCAAGATACGGCGGTTGCGGAGTCTGCGGTGGTTGTGGTGTCTGCTGCAGTGCTTGGGAGTCCTCAGGAAGCGCTAGGAGCATCCATCAACGGAGGGTACTCAGTCGGAGTACAAGGAGCTCCGTTACAGCGATGTTAGGAAGAAGAAGTATTTCTAGATAAAAATTAATTTTTGTTTATATATTTTGCTACCTATAAAGATATTTGGGGCAAATAATACATTTCTTCTAAACCCTAAACCATTACTGAACATGTGGCTAGCTGTGACCAAGCTAATCCTTTAAATGCTTCAGAAATAAATGTGTTCTGACAAAAAATAAAATGGGATTTCCATAACTTGTCACCCCCACCGCCTCATGTGTCACTATCCCAAGACCCTCTATAATTATGGAGATTCTTGTCCAGGTACAGAAAAAGCCAAGGGGAGGGACCTAGAGTAATGCTGGGGGTAGAAGTGGCTCATGTGCACATAAATCATACCTTCTAGCATCCATGGAGGTTTCCCATGGCAATCATACCAAGCTTGCTCCTTTGTGCTCCAGGAAGCCTTCATGAACTCAATGTAATGGGCATTGAGGGAGATATAAAACTTTATATGGGCATGGAAAGCAAAACGGGGCACAGTAGGATACTGAGAACGGGCAGCAGCTGAAATAGCCTGCCCTTCGGTGGGTCCCCTCTCAGATCTCAAGCTGGTTTTAGCTCATCTTGTGCAATTACAGAGAGAGCATCTCTGAAACATTTCAGACTGGTCCCACCCATACGGGCAGTCCAGATCCAATAGTCCAGATCCAATATGCCAGCAAATTCCCTCTGCACGAGAGACACAGCAACCCCAGACGATCGTTTCAGCCTTGTTAGGCATCATCATTGAGGCATAGCTAATATCTCTCTAGGCACCGTGAGCAAGGGGTCTACGTCTGGATTACCCTTTAAACTTATGGAGGGCAAAATACGGGGCGCAAGAGTATAGTGAGAACGGGCAGCAGCTGGAATAGCATGCCCTTCAGTGGGTCCCCGCTCAGATCTCAAGCTGGTTTTAGCTCATCTTGTGCCATTACAGAGAGAACATCTCTGAAACATATCAGACTGGTCCCACCCATACAGCAATCCAGATCCAAAATGCCAGCAAATTCCTTCTGCACGAGAGACACAGCAACCCCAGACGATCGTTTCAGCCTTGTTAGGCATCATCATTGAGGCATAGCTAATATCTCTCTAGGCACCGTGAGCAAGGGGTCTACGTCTGGATTACCCTTTAAACTTATGGAGAGCAAAAAACGGAGCGCAAGAGTATACTGAGAACGGGCAGCAGATGAAATAGCCTGCCCTTCGGTGGGTCCCCTCTCAGATCTCAAGCTGGTTTTAGCTCATCTTGTGCAATTACAGAGAGAGCATCTCTGAAACATTTCAGACTGGTCCCACCCATACGGGCAGTCCAGATCCAATAGTCCAGATCCAATATGCCAGCAAATTCCCTCTGCATGAGAGACACAGCAACCCCAGACGATCGTTTCAGCCTTGTTAGGCATCATCATTGAGGCATAGCTAATATCTCTCTAGGCACCGTGAGCAAGGGGTCTACGTCTGGATTACCCTTTAAA